AAAAAAAAAAAAGAAAATATCATTGCCATGGACCCAGCAATTTCGCTTCTAGGCGTACACCCAAAGGAACCGAAAACAGGTGTCAGACAAACCCTTGTGAACTCATGGTCACAGTGGCATGATTCACAGGAGCCAGAAAGTAGAAACAACCTAAATGTCCATCAGCTGAAGAACTGATAGACAAAAGGTGGCGGATCCATACAGTGGAATATTCTTCAGCCACAAGAAAAAAAAAAAGGAATAAATGCTGATCCATGCTACTACGGGGATGAACCTTGAAAACATTACACTAAAGTGAAAGCAGCAAGACACAAAAGGCTATGCATTGTATGATCCCCTTTTATATGAAATCTTCAGAATAGGCACATCCCGCAGAAACAGAAAGCAAATTACTGGTTGCTCGGGGCGGGGAGTGGAGGGGTTTCCCTCTGTGGTGGTGAAAATGTTCTCAAATTGTTGTGCTGCGTGCTTGTTATCTGTGAATAGAGTAAAGCCGTCAAATTATACACTTTAAAGGGGTGTTGGGGGTGCCTGGGTGGCTCAGTCAGCTAAGCGTCTGCCTTCGGCTCAGGTCACGATCCCAGGGTCCTGGGATCAAGCCCCGCATCGGCCTGCTTCTCCCTCTCCCTCTCCATTGTTCTCCCTGCTTGTGCTCTTGTCAAATAAAATCTTTTTAAAAAAAAAAAGCAAGAAAAGAAAGAAAAAGAGAAAGAGAAGAAAGAGAAAGAAAGGAAGAAAGAAAAGAAAGAAGGAAGAAAGGAAAGGGAAGGAAGGAAGGAAGGAAAAGAAAGGAAAAAAAAGGAAAGAAGAAAAAGGAAAGAAAGAAAGAAAGAAAAGAAAAAGAAAGAAATGGCCCTCCGTGAAAGGTGTCCCGAGATACCAAGTTGGTGGTCTGTTTGAAGTGAGACTGGAGTGGCCAGCCTCCCTGCAGGTCTTACAAATGGTCCAGCCCCATGAAAAATTCCTAGGTGGGCTTGTGAGACTTCTGATCACTTCCCCCCACCGACAGTCCCAACGCTGTGGTCCGAGGGGCGCCCGAGTCTCTATCCTCCACCTGAGTGGCCGTAACAGCCAACCCAGCCCCGTGCCGTCATGTGACAGCTGACCACGGAGTCCTCCGTGAGCTTGTCCGCCGCCGCCATTTGCCGATCTTGCTCTACCAGGGGCTAATCCAACTCAATCAATTCCTAATTTCGCTGGCAAGTGCTAGAGCCCACCCAGGATCCCAGTCCCCTAGCCAGTGGGCTCAGCCCTGTGACTTGCTCCAAGAGCCGACAGAATGGAGCACGGAAACGGCTCTCCTATGCTCTCAAGGTGGTGACCAAAGCTGGCTCTGACGTCCCAGGACTCCTCTGCTTTCTGTCCCATTGCTGCTGGACTCACCAGCCCACCCAGATGCAGAGGAAGGGTGCGAGCCCCAGCTTCCATGGGAGCCCTGTCATCGTGGGCTGAACTCAGTACCCCTGCCTCAAGCTCACATGTTGAAGCCCAGATTCCATGGGAAAAACGGACACTCACAGACCCGTTGTTAAGCTCTTCCAATGTTTATTGAATAGTGAACTGCTGTCAATCCTGCTGAACTCTGCAACTCACTCACCCGGATCCCTCTCTTGGCCACCCTGAGAAGGAAGCCAGGAGCAGGACCACCCCAAATGCCAGAGAGTAGTCAGGGGGCTGGGGGATGTGGGGAGATGGGAAAAGGCGGTGGGGGGAAGAGGAAGGAGCAAGGCAGGCAGGGTGCAGGGCTACACTCCGGGGGGCTGGGGGGCACACACGCGCGCACACACACAGGCAAGGACCAGTGGCATCAGTCTCTGCCCCCACTCAGCGGCCGCAGGGACATCAGGGAAAGACCAGGCGTCCATGAGACATTTCAGTCCTTCCCGTCATGAAGCGTCTGCCACGAGGGGCTGGGCCAAGGTCACTGGACTGTGCAGAGAAGAGGTGGAGAGGAGTCAGCTTGCAGGGGATGAGACCAGTGGGGACCCCATGACAAAGGGAGACAAGTGATGGGCAAAATGCAGTCCCAGGGAGAAACTGAGGCACAAGGACAACCGGATGCCCAGGAGGGAAAAGTTGTAATCCAACAGGCAAAGTGGGTCAAGACTTAGTTCTCAATAAAGCTGGGGGGGGGGGTAGCTGGACAGTCACTAGCAGAGGTGACAGGACACCTGTCACCTGTGCCCCACGGGAACACTTGCTCTCCGGACAAGCCGTCCGCTGAAATGGGTTTCCGTGATGCCGGTGACAGCCCACGCCATCCGCGAGCCCCGGAAAGACCGCGGGGACAATGAGGTATCCTGGTCCTGCCCCATCGCCTCTCCCCTTCGCTGACTTTCACGGCTATCCTGTCGCTATCATCATCTGCAACCACGCGTGTAACTTTGATTTCTGGAAGTCCTTCTAGCGAATCCCTGAACCTGGGGATGGTCTTAGGGACCCCTGGGAATTGCACCCACAAAAGAGGTCAACAAGAGCCCCCGCTCCCTCCTTTCCCTTACATAAATCCCATTTTTGCTTATGTGGGATGAAAGCATCCACTGACGGGACCTCTCGGAACCCCAGGCAACCTCGTGCTGATGTAAGTAGCCCCCTGTGAGTTACCGAGAGCTTCGAGAAGCAGCTAAGAAGCCACCACTGGTGTGTTTATGCCAGGGATGTGCTCTATTTCGGGTTTTAAGACTTGAAAGCCCTGCCCCCACCCTCACAGCCGAGGCACATAATTGAGTCCGCTCAAGCCGCTTCGGAATTATGTAATTCTTGACTTTCTCTGTGTTGGTTTGGGGAGCCCTCCATTTCAGACCTGCACGGGAAGCAGGACACCGCTTTGTGTGTATCGCATTAATTCAATCCGCACGTTCAAATTCACAGCGAAGGTGACCTCGCTCTGCCCTAGTAAAGGACTCTAAGAAACAGAACTTGAATTTCAAGCATCTGGAAACCAGTCCGCTGGAGCCAAGCCTCCTGGGGACAGGAACTTGGGTCCACCATATACTGGGATGGAAGAGTCAGTTCCGGAACAACAGGGGAGAAGGGGGAGAGACTGGTGCTCAAGGAGAGAGAATGGGAGAGTACGGCCAGGCTCTCAGTGTCAGGAGCCAGAACCTGGTTCTGGAGTGGGCTAGCACCGGGTGCCCAGGGGCCCAGTTCTAGAAGAGGTGGGGTTTGGAGCTCATCTGGAACACACGGGCTTGGAAACGGGAAATCGGGCTCGGGAGGTACTGAAAAGCAGTTCTATGACCCAGAGAACAATATGGACGCCACTACCCATTCTAGATAATATCGGGTTGGAAACGAGTCTTAGGTTCGGAGTCCGTTAGGAACTGGCTATCAACTGCGGTGTGTAGGAGATGGGACCCCTCACCTCTGCCTTCAGGGCACATTAGCCCTGAGCCAAGGCGGCCTTGATGGCGGCCACCAGCTTCAGAAACTTGCTCTCTGTGTCCACGTAGCCATCACCTCTCTGGGGAGGGGAAGAAGAGGGAAGGGGTGAGATCCCAACACCCAGCCAGCCTGAGAACAAGGCGAGACAGACGGACAGACACCATTACCTTCTTGGAGTGAACCAACTTCCCGGCTACCATCACTTCAAAGAAGCCGGTGGCCTGGGGAGTCCCCTCGCCGCACTGGGGAGAGAGATGTTGTTGGAGGGGCCGAGCGGCCCACTTGGGGACACCTGCACCTTCCCGGGAAATGGAGATTATGGGGGTGAAGGGTAGGGCCAGCCCGAACCACCCTGCTGCCGCCTCAGGGTTGAGGGACACACAAGGAGACCCATCTCCGATTCTCTTCCCCATCCCCAAGACTCACGATGTCCAGGCATCCGGGGAACTCATCTTCTAACTTCTTCTTGAGCTGAAGATACTGGGAAGGAGGTGTGGGGGTCACAACTGTGGTCAACAGGGGCCAGACCAGCTCGCCCTCCTCCCTCATCTTCCAGGGACATCTCGGGGCTGGCCCCTCCACTTACCTTGGACTTGTACCCTCAAGCGCCACTGGTGGGAGAGAGTCCAAGAGAGTGGGTCCCAGGTGAGAGAGAGAAAGAGAGAGAGAGAGAGATGGTGGGGATCCGGGGAGAGGAGGAAGAGGAGAAGAGGCAGGCGGGTGGGGGGGTGGGGGAGACCCAGGGAAACGTAAGGGGGCCCAAAAAGACATGAAGAGGAACGCAGACAATAAAACCAAAGAGGGGACAGAGAGAGGAGAGGACAGACTCACAGAGAATGTTGGAAGGGGCACGGGGACGGGGGACAGGAGGTGGACACCCACACACAAGGAAAACCGATACAGAGCAGGGGAGCCAAGAGACGGAGAGGAGGCACAGAGCAAGTGGGTGACAAGGAGAGACCACAAGTATGAGACACAGGCGGGAGGGAGGAAACAGAAAACGGGGTTAGGATGAGAACCACAGAAGCAGCACCCCCACCCACAGCCCCGGGGGGTGGGGTAAGGTGTCCCGAAAACCTTTACTCCCGGATTCCCAGGTCCTCCCAGTCCTGAGGCCGGAATCCAAACGCTTCCCCAACCCCCACGGCAGGCTATTTCAGGACAGGCCGCGTGGGGGCCTCAAAATGTCACTCCACCCTCCGCTCTGCTTGCGGAGGGTGCGGGGACATTTCTAACGCGCCCGCCCGCAGATCGGAGCCTTTCAGAATCAGCGGCTGCCCCAGGGCATTTCACTCAAGCTTCGGACCTGACCCCACCCTCCCCTATAAGGAAGACGGAGCTAATATTCTCCTCCTGCAAGCACTTTCTGGGAGGTGAAATGCGCGGATCGTGCATTTACTAAGCGCCCACAGGCAGGCCTGTCTTTGCAAGTCCGCACAGTGCTAGGTGCCCGCAGGGGGACGGAGCAGTCAACGAGAGAGAAAATCCCCTGTCCACTCGGGGCTTTTTCACGCTAGCGGGGAAGCTGGCTCAAACATGCACTCCCTCCGTGGTCACTACCGAGATCACGCTCTCACCCTCTGCAGATGGGGAAACCCAGACCCGAAAGGAAGGAGGGCTACTAACGATGGGCACCCACAGTCTTCATTCCTTTCAAACCCACGCTGGAACATTCTCGAACCTTCCCGACTCTCGCCGTCCCCACCCCATGACTGTTCATGGTACTGGGGGAGGGGAAACCTAAACGCTGACAGAGGCTCCTCTCCCATTTTAAAAGTGACCCCCCCCCCACCCGCTCCGCAAACGGAGCCCCCGGAGTCGGGTGTCTTAAATGGCCACACACGTGTCTCGGTTCCACCTTCGATAACCTGAGCTGTCCTGAGTGCCACGCACTTTGGAGGTGGATCAACGCCCTTCCTTCCCGCCGGTCCCCTCACGCCCACCCCACCCGCAGGAACCCCTTTTCTCGGGGAGGGATCTTCGTGGGTCCAGCCCCCAAGCCCCAGCGCCCAGCACCGTCGGGCCGAGTGGGGGTCGCAGAGGGGGACCCCTGGCCGTCGTGCTTACCAATAAACGACTCGGATGGCGAGGGCCATGGCTGGGGACCGTAGCATGGGCGGGACGCGGACGGCTACCCACCTGGGGCGTGGACGGGCGAACTCCGCGGCTCCGCGACCGCGGCACAAAGGTGGTTACTCGGCGTTCCACGGCGCGAACCAACGCGGCGGGGGAGCGGGGACGGCGAGGGACGGCGGGCCCCCACGGTGGGGGTCCAGGGACCCTGCGGCCCGCCACCCTGAGCCCCCACGCAGTACCCTCCCTTCCCCTGCTGGGGTCAGGCTGCGTCCCGACAGAAGCCCCGGGGGAAGCCTCTGCGCGTCCCCTCCCGGTCCCCCCTCCGAGCCAGAATGGTATGGCCCCGCGGGGCGGGGTTTGGGACCCGAGGATCGGCGAAGAAAACACAATTGCCAAGGAGGGTGGTGGTTTTCCAGCGTGGGCCGGGAGGGGGCAGCTCTCGGGCCCCTTTCCTCCCGGGGAGAGGGTGGGAGGGCCGAGTCCGAAAGCACTGGGGGTACGCAGGGGCCCGCCCGGGAAGCCCAGGTCTCCAGCGCGCCCCTCGGGCCGGGCAGCTGGACCCGGGCGCCGCCTGAGCGCCGTGGCAGTTCCTCCTCTGGCGCTTTCCAGCCCCCTCCGAGGGGACGGGTTCAGGAAAGTGCTGGAAGCTGGCCGCTAGTTAAGGGTTTAGGGCGTGGGCGCCTCTCTGAGCCTCAGTTTCTCTGTCTGGAAGATGGGCGTAATTGCCTTCAGGGACGACTCATTCATTTACCAAATATGTACTGCGGACCTACCTGCAGTCAGCGATGAAAAGATAGGCAAAATCCCTTCCCTACTGGGAGTGGTTTAGCCTGGGGGCTGGAGGATAAGGGAGTTGATGTGCGCGCTCAAATTGGAAGGACCTGAGTATCTTGCACTTGGAGATGGCTCAATAAAGACCAACTCTGCCAGAGATCTTCCTGCCCCACCTTCTGTCTCTGCCTCCTGGTCCTTGGTCCTCACCTGCTATAACCCTGGCTCAGGGCAGATGGCACACAAGGTTCAAGTTCCACTCTGCCTCTGTTGTGTGACTTGTGATCCCGGTGGTCTTGGAAGGATGTAATGAGCCTGGGATATAGAGCGCCCAACACAGGGCTGGGTGCAATCAGTGTCCCCTAAATAGAGATCTTCCAGAGCCGTCAGAACAAAAACCCAAATCTTGGCACCATCTGCCCCTGCCTGGTCCCCATCCTTCCCTTCTTGCCCCCTCTCTCAGTGCCCTAGCCACCCGGACCTCACCCACTTTCCTGCCTCTGGGCCTTGGCACATGCTGTTCCTGGTCATCCTGCAGGAATCAGCTCCAACAGATTGTCACCAGCTAGACCCCAGGACCTGACCTTGACTGCCCACCTGCTGGTACTTATCGACCTTTGTCCCACATTTTTCCTTAAGCTCTTCTTTTCAGCTCATCTCTTAGGCAAATGGAAAGGAAAACCACCCCGCCAGGCATAGCAACTGCCCTAAAAAGACCTTCAGACCCCCAGACCACCCAGACCAGTTTGAGCTCAACCCCTGACTTGCACCTGAGCAGGTGGACGGAGGATGGAGTGATCTCTAGAATGACAACTACCTTTATCTCATTTTTTTAAAAGATTTTATTTATTTGTTTGACAGAGACAGAGCGAGAGAGGGAACACAAGCAGGGGGAGTGGAAGAGGGAGAAGCAGGCTTCCCGCCGAGCAGGGAGCCAGACATAGAGCTTGATCCCAGGACTCTGGGATCATGACCTGAGCCGAAGGCAGACACTTAATGACTGAGCCACCCAGGCGCCCCGACCTTTATCTCATTATAATACTGAAATTCCCACCCAAGGTGGAGCACACGCCTCATTTACATAACATACAATGTGTGTACAGGCCTGTTGCCTTAAGGTGCCTGCGGGACCTTATGCCCGCCTCTACCTAGGATGACAAGGCTTCCCTATCTAAATATTCATCCTGGGGCGCCTGGGTGGCTCAGATGGTTAAGCATCTGCCTTCAGCTTGCATCATGATCCCAAGGTCCTGGGATCAAGCCCCATGTCCGGCTCCTGGCTCAGCGGGGAGCCTGCTTCTTCCTCTGCCTCTCCCCCTGCTCGTTCTCTCTCTCTGTATCCCTGTGTCTCAAGTGAATAAATAAAATCTTAAAAAATAAATAAATACATACATAAATAAATAAATATTCATCCTAACCCTAAATAAAAGGAACCCATCCAGCCTTGCTTGGGGAGTCACTTTTGGAAGCTATTCCCCGTGATCTCCTTATTTGCTGCAAATAAACTTTTCCTTATGTGACAGCTCAACCTGGTATAGTTTCTGACTCACCAAGGAGCGAACTCACGTTGGTTCAGTTACAATATTATAAGGAAAATGTTATGCTTCCGTGGAAAGCAATGCCTTCTCCATAGTACATCTATATTTGTTTGTCTGTCATCACAAAGTACCATAAACCGTGGCTTAAAGCACTGAGATTTAGCTCACAATTCTAAAGGTCAGAAGTTGGGAGATCTAGGGGCGCCTGGCTGGCTCAGTCGGTGGAGCGTGCGACTCTTGATCTCGGGGTCGTGAGTTTGAGCCCAATGCTGGCCGTAGAGATTACTTAAAAATAAAATCTCAGGGACACCTGGGTGGCTAAGCTGGTCAAGCATCTGCCTTCGGCTCAGGTCATGATCCCAGGGTCCTGGAATTGAGTCCTGCATCTGGCTCCTTGCTCAGCAGGGAGCCTGCTTCTCCCTCTGCTGGCCGCTCCCCCTGCTTGTGCTCTCTCCCTCTCTCTCTAACAAATAAATAAATAAAATCTTAAAAAATTAAAAAAATTAAAAATTAAAAAATAAAAATAAAATAAATAAAATAAAATCTCCCCCCCAAAAAAGTTGGAGATGGGGGTGTCAGTAAAATTGGTTCCCTGTGAGGGCTGGGAGAAAGAATTCATGCTTTTCTCCTCGCTTCTGGTGTTTTGCTGGCTATCTTGATGTTCCTTGTAAAAGCATCACACATAGCATTTTGTGTGTGTGTGTGTGTCCAAATTTCCCTGTTCTATGAGGACATAAGTCCTGTTGGATTAGTGGCCCACCCGACTCCAGTAGAACCTCATCTTAACTACGTACATCTGCAGTGAACCTATTTCCAAATAAGATCACATTCTGAGGTCCTGAGGGTTAGGACGTCAACATACATGAATTTGGGGCAGGATGCAATTCAACCCATAACAAATCCTTCAGAGCTGTGGGCTTTGTTTTATAATCCTGTGAATTGTGGATATGTGAAAGGGACGCACAATAATTCTCCGCAGACGTGCGTGTAATACTGTCTGTGGAGGGACAACCCTCTCCCCCTTAGCTTGAGCTCCTATAACAAAATACCACGGACTGCATGACTTAGGAACAACAAACCTTTATGGGGGGGGAGGGACACAAATATTCAGGCCACAGCACCTCCCCAAATGTTCTGCCTCCAGTATTTACTTCAACATTCCCAGTCTGTAAATGTGTCTGTTCTTTGATCCTCCCCTGAACAGGGAGAGTCCAGCTTCTAACACAGGTTCACGTTTAGATCTGTATGCGTCATGATTTTCCCATTTTCCCCAGAGCCCATCTTGTAACAATACTGTTCTCCAGGAAGGTCTCCTGAGCCCCGCGGGCTGGGTCGGGGTCCCCTCGGGGCTCCCCCCATCTCTGCTGCTGCCGCTCTGGTTCTCACAGGTCTGGTGACCCCACTGGCTTTCCCAGCACACCCAGCAAGTGGCCAGGCACAGCACAGAAGTTCTGAGAGTGTTTTGTTGGCCCGGCTCTGGGCTGAGACCTTGCCAGGAGCTTCAGAGAAAAGGAACAGCCCCCCCCCTTCTGCCCTGAGAACAAAGGGGTCTCTTGTCCAGAAGTGCGGGAGGCTGGAAGAATTAGTCATGATTTTGGGGGCTGGGACTCTCTCTCTCTCTCTCTCCCCCTCTCACACACACATAAACACACACATGCACACAGACCAAGGGTAACACACAAGGACTCACCCCCCCCCACTTGGCTACACCACTGCACGGCCAAGCAAACCACAACCCAGCCAGAAACACAACACAATAGCCTACACCTCTCTAGTCGGCCACACAACGACGCCAAAGGCACACCAGGACCCCTGCAGACAACAGCCGAGCCAGGGTCACGACACCTCCAAATGCGCCAGACCCAAGGGCAGCCACCTCCACCCGTGGGAGGGGGGACACAGCCGCGCTCCAGACACACAAGAGCGTGACACAAGGCAGATCCAGCCAGCTCCCTGGGGGGCACACAATCACAGACAAGGCAGATCCTGCTGACACGCAACATCATAGGGTCATTGATGCCCGCGACACACGGCTCCACCTGTCCCCGGAACATAAACAAATACGTACTACGTGAGGGCGTCGTGAGTGCTGGGAAGGAAAATAAAGCCAGGAAGGATGGTAGGCAGGGCTGGGGCGGCCAATTTTGTAAACAGAGCGAGGGAGGCCGCTATGTCATTCATAAGAGCAGCCAGCCCTTAAAGAGGCATGAACCGTGAAGAACCCATTTCACAGACGGGCAGACTAAAGACACTCACCTGAGGTCAGGTGACCCTAGCTGACTTGCTGCGGAGCCTGCACGCTGAGCCGGCTTCCTGTGGGCAAGATAAGAAAGGTGGGGCCAGGCTGGGCGGGGCCAGGGAGTAGTTGTGAGGGACCCCAAAAGCCCCGAGGGGTGAAGGAGGCCTGAACTTCTAAGGGCAGGACACCCAGCCTCTGCCTTATTCCAGCCCCAGGGAAGATGAAGCTCTGCTCTGAGGTTTTGTGTCCAATGTGTTCCTGGAGCTTGACAAGCCAAGCCCTTCCCGTTCTTCAGTGTCTTTAACACTTGGGTGCAGGCGAGGCCAGCAGCCAGGCCACTTTCGTCTGTCTGTCTGTCTGTCGTTCTGCATGGGGTCAGGACCTCCCTGGAGCTGTGGCTCCTCCTCATGCCTCCTCCCCCCATCCAGGGATGACCACTGAGCCCTGAGCAGACTAAGCCCCAGACTGGGGAGGACCCCGTCTCCACCATTCTTGGGACCTGCATGAGCCGAGGCTCACTTTTTACTTGGGTTGTCGATCTTCTAGATCATTAATTTATAAGAGTTCTTTATATATTCTAGCTACAAGT